CTTTGCTCCTGTGTTTTGTTATTTATTTTCTAGTTCTGCCTTATTTCCTTTTGTTATGCTTTGTTCCTTATGTATTCCCTTCCATCTTTCCTGGCTGTCATAGTGTCCACCGCTTTACTTGCCAAAATAAACTGAAACTGAAACTGAAAAACTGAAACAGAAATAGCTAGAATTTTCATGGCATTGAAATAGCCCGAGTGATATTTTTGCAATTGCTCTCACGCCTACTGAATAAAAATTTCGAAATTAACCCTTGTTGTCATCTTTGAAATCAATGCGCAGAGGATTCACTTCTCCCTGCTTTTTCCGGCCAAGGCCATCTCCTTTCTTCCACCCCATCTTCTCCAACATTTTCTGACCGAACTTGCTGTCATCTACAAAATAAATGGGCGTTAGTTACATTTCTTAAATTAGATCTAAACCTATAAAGTCCATGTAGGCTAAATTAGAAATCGTGTAACGAATCCTCACCCTGAGACCAAAGCTTCCCGCGTGGATTTAGGGACCATTTGTTCCGACGGCGTGGCTCTGCGAGCATCGCCATGTTGGATTAAAACGTCATACAGGGAGAGAGTTAAGAGGACCAATCGGAGCGGGAAAATTCGAAGGGGCGCTGGCCAACGGCATCTCGTGGCTTTCGGAAGCGGGATTGTTCAACCTTTCGGTGTTGTGCCTGCTCATCAGTTGGACTTCTCCAGACTTTTCTTCAGCTGCCTGGTCCACACGTTCTCGTGTACGACTCGAGGCCATGGCATCGACTGCAAGGAAGGTTGAAGAGCCGAAAATCCCCCCTGTCATCGAAAATAAGATGACAAAACGTAGATACACCGTCGGCAAATTCCTCGGGAAGGTGAGGGCAAGTCCCATTTCAATAGGCCTGAGTTTGCTCTATATCTGAAGTCTAGCCATACGAGGGGAGCCCTTGTAGGTGTCCAGAATGCCGTTATTAATAGTCTTATAATAGGCCTAGAATAAAAATTTGGGATGAATGAAAATAATGGAATTTATTCGCAACCGTCGGCGCTCCTGCCTAGACACGCGGATAAGTGTTACTAACTTACCATGGTGGTTTAGGGGAAAACAGCGCAACTCAAACGACTACTTTGCTTACGCAATTATCACATCCAGCATTTTCCCAGGCCAGGTTAAAGGACATTAATTCTGTTTATTTCCTCACACGAAGTGCATTCTTAATGATAATGTTCCAGCATAAATACACATTGATGGGTTGTAAACCGGTTAAATAAATTAGGAAGAGTCAACTTCTTTCATGAAGGTGAGCCTTGAGTTGAAAGAATGACAATTTTTAGTGTTTTTCACTCATGTCAAACAATACTTTCATTTGACTTAAATACTCAAATTTGAGAAACATCCCATGCACAAGACACTTGTGCATGGGATCTTGCAAAAATTTGCCTGACTCAAGTGAAAAAGTGCTAGACTTCTATTTTCAGTGCAGCCCTTGATCCAGGTGATCAAGCCAATGAGGTCAATTTTCTTTTGACTGCTAATTCAACTCAACCCAGTGGCCTTTCATTTTTGCTACATTCACTTTTCCTTCAATGTCTCAGATGTGACATATTTAGGGCTTTTGATTCTTACTATATTGCAAGGTACAGAAGTAGATGTAAACAATGAGAAATTGCAGAATACGGTGGCCTATATTGAAGGTGTTACTTTCATGATTAATCCTCTCCT